AGTTTTACATCTGAAGGTGCCTCTATCTTTGATTTCTTGAATTCAATTTGGTCACAAGATGAAGTCTGCCAATGAGTTCTGTCTGTTGACTAGGCAGTTTCTTGAGCAAAGAAATTCAAAGATAGTCCGTGTCTCTTTTATCCTTCAGTTATTTAACACTTATTTATTAAGCACATGGTAAGGGTTATAAATTACAGCTCAAAAAAACTTACAAGGCAGCTACTATTATTACCCAGTTTTACAGATGGCGCTAAAAACACAGAGACAGAGCAGTTTGCCCAGTGTCACACAGGTGTTCGACGCAGGAGCTGGGATTCAAACTCAGGCATCTGGCTTGAGTGTGTTCACACTGCTGCTTCCATGCTTGTGTCAGAAATACGCCTACAGAACAGTAATATTGCAGTCCACATCACCTAAAAAATGAGGCCTGAGTTAAAACCTTACATGTGCATAGTAACACTTCATTTAGAAGTGTAATCCTAGGGGAGAAGCAGTGGTGGGAAAAGAGAGGAAGTCAAGACAGAGGAAGAGCACATTGAAGGGGACACTGCCCATGGCTCCCAGGACAGTTAGTATGTGGCCTCAGGGGTTGTCTTTAGAGAAGCCACACGAAGCTACTGTACCTGTCGACAGTCCATTCCACAGATGGAAAGAAATTCATCCCAAGGGCTGCTAACTCACCCATACTTTTGGGCTGTCCATATGTGGGTGCTAAGTGGGTCCTAGGATGTCTCATGTCTCAATAGCAACAGAAAATCCTGGGACACGAGGTTGGAGGGCTGTGGTGTAGGCTGTAGCAAGGTGCCGTTGGGCTGTGCCTGTGAGTGGTCTCAAGGTCAGAGTCCGCATGCTCTTCAGTCACTGGTGGTGGCCGAGGCAGCAGGGACCTGGCTCTGTTAGCACAGGTGTTGATCCTCTAAGGCCCAAATAGAAGTAAGTGACAGATAGGAGATGGTGCCTAAATTAGAGGGATGACTTGGAATGGGAGGGTGTTAGTACATTGTACACTTATATATTGTAGCATGGAGTAGAGCTGCTGCAGACTCATTCCGCAGTTCATGTTGGTGCTGCTGTTAATGGAGGAGGGCTCAGTGACGGCATTACCCCTTCTCACCGAATCCCCCTCCATTTGTGATTTGTCAGGGAACAGGCTGAAACTTGAGACCCAGGCCTAAGCCTTCTGAAGAAGTCAGAAATCAATTTAGGATGTAGACATTTAAGATATTCCCTAAAGCTACTTGGCAATCCTAGCACATCATCCATAAAAGGATTAATTCAGTCTCCCTCTATATTCTTATAATACTTTGGTTCTTTATATGTCATGTTTTGCTGTGGATTAACATGATTTGACTCACAGTCCTAGAATGGAAGTTCCTTGATGGTCCATGCATCTCTTTTTTTGTCTTGATCAGTCTTTTTATTGATTCATATAATCAACAACTGAGTTTTTTGACTTGAATGCAGTGTTGTATCCAGGACCATTTATATATTCAGGGCTTCGTGCAAAATGAAAACGCCGGGTCCATGTTCAAAAAAGAGAAAGTGCTGGGATGCTTGACAGGTTCGGTTGGGACAGCGTGTGACTCATGATCTCGGGGTTGTGATTTCAAGCCCCGTGTTGGGTGTAGATATTACTTAAGTAAATAAAAACTTAAAAAACAAAGAAGATGCTATTAAACCTACGAAAATATAAAGATGTAAAAAAATATTTTGTTATAAAACATAATGTGGATAATATTGGAGTAACAACACAAACTTAGACATTACGAAAAAGTCTTTCTGATGCTGTCATTTTATACAATACGATAAATACAACAAACGTGATCTTGACTGTTCACAAATTATTTATTACCTAACTTCTCCAAATTCATTTATTAAGTCATTGAACTTACACTCTGAGCAATATTGAAATAGTTATATTTTAAGCAATATTTAAAGTGAGCTCAATCTTTTTTCTTTTTAATTTTGTTAATGTTTGCTTAGTTTTGAGAGAGAGGAGGGTGCAGTAGGGACAGGCAGAGAGGCAGGTGTGGGGGTGGGGGACCAGAGGATCCCAAGCAGGCTCCACACTGACAGCAGCAAGCCACTGTGGGACTCGAACCTACGGACTGTAAGATCAAGACCTAAGCCGAATTCAGAGGCATAACCAACTGAGCCAGTGGTGCAAAGACATTAGCCACTCTTAAATTTAGGGCTGAAATATTTCTTGTAATTTTTACTGTGCTGGGCACCTGGGTGGCTCAGTCGGCTAAGTGTCTTACTTCAGCTCAGGTTGTGATCTTGTAGTCTGTGAGTTCGAGCCCCACCTCAGGCTCTTTGCTGACAGCTCAGGGCCTGGAGCCTGCTTCAGATTCTGTGTCTCCCCCTCTCTCTGCCCCTCCCCTCCTCTGTCTCTCTTGCTCCCAAAAATAAACAAAAAAATTGAAAATATTTCTTGTAATTTCTAATTTTGAGAAAAATCTGAAATAGCTGTTACTGCAGTTAGGAGAATTTTATAAGCCATGACTATGTTAGGATAAATTTCTGATATCAAAATAATTAGAAGTTTTTAGCACACCTAGAAACGATTCCTGTGGAACAATTTTTCTAAAAGGATTTAATTTTTCACAAAAAAAAAAAAAACAGTTTTTGAGTCGGTCTGAATTTAATTTTATACGTAAATTTACATAGTGGCCTTTTAATGCTTCCTCTGACAATTCTTGTAAACTTGTACAGATTGTACAAGACACTACAAGTGACTTGATGATTTGCATATAAATCAAAACATGTTTATGCATTCTATTGCCATATATTCAGTTACAGTAAAATTTGAATTCTAAAATTGTTTTTGTTATTAATCAGTTCATCTAAAGCTTCATATGAAAATAACATGCGGGGAGGGTTTATTCCATGCTACACTATTTCCATTAACTTGTGTTTATAAGCCTGTAGGTATTTCATTTGCAATATTGCAGCAATTTCCAAAGTTGGAGATTCTAAACTCTTTAAAGAATTCTAAGAACTCCCTGTTAGGCTTTATTTCCATGTCCCTGTATATACTTTGTTCTGTAATAACAGACTGCCAACATTTACTGCCCCCATGTTGCTGTGACCCCCCGCCCTGCTCAGGTGGAAACGTTTGTATCTACCCAGGCACAGCAAGGTGAGACTCTGACCACTGGGCAAGCTGGCCTTCCACCACAGGCCTCTTCTTTCGTCTTGGGCTTGTGACAGCCTGTGTTGCTGCTGCCGCCACCACCACCGCTGCTGCCAGAGATCTCAGTCTCACTTGTGTCCCAGCCAAACCCTTAGGGCTCCGTGATGCCCTGGATGACCCTGAGGCAGGTCCTGTGTGTCAGGTGAGCAGGTCAGTTGCAGGGTGCTTGGTGTCCGTGCACACCCTTCCTGCTAGACAGGAGTGTGTGTGCTCACTGCTGTTTGCTGTATCTTCCCTGCTCACAGCAGGACTCACAGAACTAGGAATTCTACAATGGTGACAGCCTAGCACCACAGAACGATTGCCTTCTGAATGGGTCTCACATTGAACAACTCGACCCTGGCTGTATCGTGATTTTAGCAAGACATATGTGAACTGTGGAAAAATGAGGTCTAGATCAGTGACACTGAAAGGCATTTGATCCCAGATGTAAAAAGAAGGACGTTTGACATCATGACTCAGGTTACACACATATCTATATATATCTGAGGCAGACATTTCCTGCAATAATACTTAAAATTAATTTCTGATAATTTCTGTCCAACTTTTAAGGACTAACATTACCCACCCAGTTGATTTCACAGACTGTATCAGTCATAACCCTGCAGTTTGAAAAACGGTCTGGAGAGTGGTACAAGTCAGTAGCTTGACAAGGGTGACAGTGTGCAATTCTATATTTTAAAACTTGGAAGTAAGGTATAGTATCTAACTAGAAAATCTTGCTTAAAGGCAGCTCTTTTAAAGGGAGGGTCATAAAATGAAAGCAAGTGTTTTGTGATGAACAGCAAGGCTTAATACTCAGCCCTGCCTGGTTGAGCATTTCCATCGGTGGCTTGGATGAAACGGTTTTATTCCCAGCCAACGCAGTGAGCACAACTCTGGGGCTCAGCACTATGCTCTGGCTGGGGTTGCGCACCTGAATGAAGGACCCAGACACGTGAATCAGTACATTAAGATGAAGCGCCATGGCAGAAGTCAGCACTGAGGGATTCGGGAGCACACAGAGAAGAAGGAGTCCTCTCCTAACAGTGTAGGCTGTGAATTACAAATACAGTAAAACATGGGAGACAGGTACACCTCACATGCTTTTACTCATCCCCAACACTTAAAGACATTAATGCCCATCAAGTGAAACAATATTCTAAAACAAGGGACAACTTTTAAAAAATATATATGTATGTATGTATGTATGTATGTATTTATTGAGAGAGAGACAGAGTGAGAGTTGGGGGCACAGCAGAGAGAGAGGGAGACACAGAATCCCAAGCAGGCTCCAAGCTCTGCACTGTCACAACAGAGCCTGACCAGGGGCTCAAACCCACAGACCATGAGATAACGACCTGAGCAGAAGCTGGACGCTTAACTGACTGAGCCACCCAAGTGCCCCAAGGGGCAACTTTTTGACAAATAATCTAAGAGCCTCAGAAAAGACTAAATTCTCAATCTCTTTTGATTTCTCCTTTTTCTCAACTGGGGTTTACATGGAATTTTTTTCCCCTGTTATCGCCAACATTACATGTCAACGTGACTGGACCATGGGGCTACTTGGGTATTTGGTGAAACATTATTCTGGGTGTGTCTCGGAGTGTCTCTGGATGAGCTTAACATTTGACTCTGTAGATGGAGATGATCCTCCTTAAGTGAGTGGGACACATCCAATCCTTTGAAAGCCTGAATAAAACACAAAGGCTGCCTTCTTCTCAGTAGAGGAGAATTTCTCCTGCCTAGTCAGGACATGTCCTGGGACATCTGATGTCCCAGATGGGACATCACATTTTTCCTGCCTTCTGACTCAGACTGAAACCTCTACTTTGTTTAAGTCTCAAGCAAACCAGCCTTTGGACAGAAACCATACCCTCGGTCCTTCTGGCTCTCAGGTCTTCAGAAGAGGATTGCAATTTATACCCCTAGTCTCCTGGGTCTCCAGGCTAACAAGTCACCCTGCAGATCTTGTGGCTGGTGAGCTTCCATAATCCCTGAACAAATTTTTAAAATAAATGTCTTCACACACACACACACACACACACACACACACACACACACACACCCTCCCCCCCCCACACATGTAACTTTAAGTGAAAAATTGAAATAAGCAAAAAAGAAGAGGAGGAAAAGGAGGGGAGGGAAAGAGAAGGGAAGGAAGGAAGGAACAAAATCAATAATCCTACCCATTGCAGTTAATCCGTGTTAGAACCTTGGAATGTATCCTTCCAGACCCCCGAATGTTTGTACACATATATATTTAGTACAGTGAAAATGGAATTACAGGCTTTTCTAAACCGTTTTATTTTTTCAGATGATAATATATTTTCAACCTGTTGTCATGTCTGTAAATCTCCATCCTCTACATCTTTTATACCCAAATAATATTCCAGAACTTACTACCCAATGCTATGCTGTTGACATTTAGATTGTGTTCAGTATTTTAATAAACAATATAAACATCTTTGTATCTATTCTTAGCATATATCCATTATGATTTCTTCATGATAAATTCCTGAAGTGGAATTTCTGGGACAGAGAAATGCACATTTTAAAAGACTTTGGCCCCCCCTTATCTTGGTGGAGGCGGGGGGAGATATGAATTCTTTTCCAGGAAATGTGTCCCTATTTGTACTTCTGCCAACATGGTCTCAGGTGTGTAACATCTACAGAAAACACAAACTGAGAGAAGTAATATGTTAATTGGATAACAATAAAAATTCACAAAAATCTCAGTGGTTTTCACCCTACAATAAATAGCATGAGAATTCACAGAAATGCGTAAAAGGTCTTTAAGTTCATAAGAAAAATTTTTGTGTATTACTGGCTGAGAGAAACTTGTGTTGTTCTGATAATCTTTTGCTGCCTAACAGACCACCTCAAAATTTGGAGACCTACAACAGTAACATCATTTATTGTTTGTAAACTTGAATCTGCAGTCTGGGCAGGGTTTGTTGGGGGTCACATCAACTAGTGTTGATGCTGACGGTCGTTGGTACTCCAGGATGGAGCTGTCACCCAGAACATCTGCATGTATGTGCTCTTTGCCTGGTTTCCTCACAGCATGATATGACTGGGTTTTCAGGGCAAAGGTCCTCATGAGGTCCAGGTGGAAGTTCTCTTGCTCTTATGACTTAGCCCTAGAGCTCATGTAGTGTCACTTCTGTCACAGACCCACTTGGATTCGAGGGAATATGAACCCCCCACTTCTCTCTAGAAGGTTGTCAATATCCTATCATAAGAGTTAAGTGGAATGAGATATACTGGGGCAGCCATCTCTGGAACATACAATCTACTACCTATGTTCTGTAAAAATGGCATTTTAGCTTTAAGAACAGTACAAATCGGGGCACCTGGGTGGCTTAGTCCTCTAAGAAACCAACTTCGACTCAGGTCATGATCTCACTGTTTGTGGGTTTGAGCCTCATGTCGGGCTCTGTGCTGACAGCTCAGAGACTGGAGCCTGCTTCAGATTCTGTGTCTCCCTCTTTCTCTGCCCCTTCCCCACTTGAATTCTGTCTCTCTCTTAAAAATGAATAAATGTTTAAAACATTTTTTAAAAAGAACAGTACAAATCAGTTACATATGCTGCATGCCAAATAGAATCTTAAGTTCTATACTGTGTGCACCTGGACACAAAATAACATTTTCCCTGTAATTATCCTTCAGGATATAAGGACTGGCCTCATATTTGAGTATCCCCTATAATACTTTTGCACAGCTAAACACTGTTGGAATAAGATACGTAGCCTAAAACAAATTCAGTGTTTGCTCATTTGGAGGTAGTTTTAAAGGTCATGTGATAAGATCTGTGAGAGAGAAGTGAAGAAATTTTAAGAAGTTTTAGTCATCATTCAGGGTATGTGACTTCACGGGTGAGTACTCTAGGTCACTTAAAGTAATATTTTATAAATCACCTTAAAAAGTGAAACAGTAAGTTGTAGATATACCCACAGAACAAAGGGGTACACAAATGGGCACCTGTGGCATGGGATAAAATTTCCTGTGTCAGCATTATACATTTGTCTCAATTTGGACAGAATTGAACATGATATGTTTCAGCAACTGTATAAGATCATCAGAATTGGCTTAAATGATGACAAAGTCAGTGACGTCAAAGGGGATATATAAAGTTTCAGTAAAATTTCATGAAATATGAGTAAGGAAAATTTAGCATTTCTAAATTAAGATTATTTTATACAATTTGTATTTCATAAAGCTGTTACAAAATTCATAAATTCATAAACAGCTGACCATATCATCTCCATTGTTCTATAAATATTTGCTTCATGTTTCAGTAGAATTTATATTTTCATATTATTTTTAGCATCGTACTAAAATAAATTTTGAAGTATTCTCATTTTTAGTTTATTAGGGTTATTTTTCTCTTCTTGAGTGTGATCAGTTAGTCAAGTGATTTAAAATGTTCCAAATGACTTAAGGGCAACCAAATCTCGATTTCAACTAACAAGATCTGTGTGTTCCAGTGCCTGGGACATACTGGGCCCCCAGTGAACGTTCTTTGAAGTGAGTGGAGCTCTTAGATCCTCTCCACCATTTTGTAATTAGTCTGTATGGCCAGGGGAGGAAGGGGAATAAAACCTGTCAACCACTTTCACGTGTTTACTCCAAAAGGACCCCTTGCCCCCTTCCCCCTCCCCCCACTGTCACACAAATATTTAAAATGCAGGAGGAGGAAGAATTCCAGAGAAAGTCACTCTTAACCATTTTGAATGTTATCTGCCATAGGAAAAAGAGGACATAAAGCATAAATATTATGACAACCTTTTGGGGCTTGGTTAAACTCTCCGCCAGGTCATTCCTTGCCTGGAGGAATATTCTGAGAGAATAGGTCACACACACCAGTCCAAAGAACACATTTATGCTGCTTCCTGAATTGTCCTTTTTTTTTTTTTTCTTAGAGAGGGGGAGAGAGAGAGTGAGCCTATGTGAGCAAGGGAGAGGGGCAGAAGGGGAGAGAGAGAGAGAGAAAGAGAGAGAGAGAGAGAGAGAGAGAGAGAGAGGATATTAAGCAGACTCCTTACTCAGCATGGAGTCCAATGTGGGACTCCACTCCACAACCCTGGGATCATGACCTGAGCCAAAATGAGGAGTGGGATGCTCAACCCATTGAGCCACTCAGGGACCCTCTGATTTGGACTTTATGAGTGACAGAATCTCAGCACAGCAGGTGATGCCCTCCTCATGTGGGCAGTATACTGTAGGATTCAGCTTGTGTTTGAATTAACCCAAGTTAGTAGAGTCTCATTTCTTGGATTTGGGGGGCTTCTGGGCAGTGGGCTAGCCTTGAACTGGAGGTGCTGACCAATGTTGAATGCAGAGGAAACCCCAGAGTCTAGAATATTATAAACCTTCCAGGCTTTTCTGTTAACCCACACATGGAGCCTCTTGATTTCTATTTAGGATCCAGTCCATCATGGTTCCCTCTCCCATATTTTTTTTCCCTGCAAATTCCAGTTTTTAAAAACCCTCTTTATTGTCTGGATATTGGATGGGTTTGGGATGTGTGGGCTTAAGAAAATGAAAACTTTTTCTGAATGGCACTATAGATACTGATTTCTGTTACAGATTGGTCAACTCTAGGCATAATTTAATATACATATTAAGACATGGTGTTTCATAGAGCATTTTTTGAGATAGTTCTTCTAGTTAGAAAAAACTGCCTGGTAAAAGGAGAATAAATCTATCGGTTTTTCAGTGGAGAGAGAGGTCTCTGATGTCGTTGCTGATGCCTTGGTAATGGTATAACTACTGGGATGGCTCCTTAAGGTGCTAATTAGAAACGTATTCTTGAGATGATCTATCTGTTGATTTTCTTTTTTGAATTTTTAAGTGTTTATTTATTTTTTAGAGAGAGAGCAAGTAGGGGAGGGTCTGAGAGGGGGGGGATACAGAATATGAAGCAGGCTCCAGATTCTGAGCTGTCAGCACCCAGCCAGATGTGGCTTTCAAACTCAAACCATGAAATCATGACCTGAGCTGAAGATAGATACTTACTTGACCAAGCCACCCAAGTACCCCCCTATTGATTTCTTTTTAAACTAGTAATATTATCTGTGATATAATTCCATATAGATCTATATGTTAGTTTTCTTAATGAGTTTTACCAAAAAAGTATTTTTAACCTGATTGGTCTCATTTAACAATATACCATGGTTATGGTCAATATTCTGTGTCAGTGTATATAATTTTAACATATTCTTTTTATTATCCATATCCACAGTATGCCTGTACTGCACTTGAGACTATATTGTTCTCAATGTTTTTACCCTTGGAGCAATGCTTCTATAAATATTTTTTAATGTTTTATTTATTTCTGACAGAGAGAGAGACAGTGTGGTCAGGGGAGGGTCAGAGAGAGAGGGAGACACAGAATCCGAAGCAGGCTCCAGGCTCTGAGATGGCTGTCAGCACAGAGCCCACCACGGGGCTCGAACCCACTAACCATGAGATCATGACCTGAGCCGAAGTTGGATGCTTAACTGACTGAGCCACCCAGGCTCATTCTTATGTATGAATGAGTGCAGCATACTCAAAGGGTAAAAAACCTACTCCTAAAGGGGAGCCCTCTTACACTGTTGGTGGGAATTCAAACTGGTGCAGCCACTGTAGAAAATAGTATAGAGGTTCCTCAAAAAGTTAGATAGAACTACCCTATGACCTAGCAATTGTACTGCTGAGTATCTGCCCAAAGAATACAAAAATACTAATTAAAGGGATACATGCACCTCAATGTTTATAGCAGCATTATCTTCAATAGTCAAGTTATGGAAACATCCCAAGTGCCCGTCTACTGATGAATAGATAAAGAAGATATGGGGACACCTGAGTGGCTTGGTTGGTTTAGCTTTTGACTTTTGATTTCAGCTCAGGTTATAATCTCATGGTTCTTAAGTTTGAGCTTTATAGGGCTCTTCATTGACAGTGTAGAGCCTGCTTAGGATTCTCCCTCTCTCTCTGCCCCTCCCCTGCTTGCTCACGCACTCTCTCTGCCTCTCTCCCTATCTCAAAATAAATTTTAAAAAGATGTGAGATATATACATATATGAGTATATATATTTACATTTATAAAAATAATGAAATCTTGCCAATTTGCAATGACATGGATGGAGCTAGAGAGTATAATGCTAAGTGAAATAAGTCACAGAAAGACAAGTACTATATGATTTAACTTCTATGTGGAATCTAAGAAACAAAACAAATGGAAAAAAGGGGGGGGGGGAAGGGAGAGGCAAACCAAGAAACAGACTCTTTAGCTATAGAGAACAAACCCATAGCTACCAGAAGGGAAGTGGGTGGAGGGATGGGGGAAATAGGTGATGGGGATTAAGGAGAGCACTTGTCATGAGGAACACCGGGTGATGTATGGAAGTGTTGAATCACTTTATTATACACCTGAAAGTAATATAACACTGTATGTTAACTGACCAGACTTTAAATAATAAAAGAAACCCTACTTCTCACCCCTATTGGATGTTATAGATTCATGTCCAACATGTCCAATGCAGTAGCCATTAGCTACAGGTGGCACTTAAGCACATGAAACATGGCCAGTCTGAGTGAAGATGTGTTAAAAGTTTAAAATATACACCAGATTTCAAAGATGAAGTGTGAGGAGAAAAAAAGGAAAATATCTCTTAAAAGTTTTTATTGCTTGCATATGGAAATACTACTATCTATTGGATATAATAGGCTGAACAGAACTTATTACTAAAATGAATTATATGCATTTGTTTTTCCTTTTATTTAATGTCACTATCAAAAAATTTTTAATTGCTTCTATGGCTTGCATTTGTGGCTGGTATTATATTTCTATGAAGAGGGATGTTACAGATAGTTAAAATTTTTTCCCAGATGACTCAAGTCATTGTCCTGATAGGTTTTTTGCTTTGTTTTGATTTAAATTTTGAATAAGTAATACATGTATACAGCACAAAATTCAAATAGGGCATAAGGGTGTAAGAAGTGCTTATCAGGGTCTTCTAATGCTGCTGTAACGAATTATCCCAAAGTTAGTGGCTTAAAACAACACAAATTTATTCTCTTACAGTTCTGGAGGTCAGAAGTCTTAACTGGGTCTCACTGGCCTAAAACCAAGGTGGCCTTTTTGCCGGCGTGCCTTTTGCCACTTTTAGAGATTGCTTACATTCCCGTTCCGTGGTCCTCTACCATCTTCATGGCCATCAGCGATGGGTCACATCTCCTGCTCTGAGTCTGGCTCCCCATCTGGTTCTCTTTTTCCACATGTTTTCCTACAACTTTGTTGAGATATAAATCACATGCCATACAATCTACCCATTTAAATGTATAACTCAGTGGATTCCAGTGTATACCTAGAGTTGTGCATCCATGATGACAATTTTAGAACATTTTCATCACCTGCAAAAGAAACCCTGTAGCCATCAACTCCCCTCTATTTCCTCCAGCCCCTAGAAACCACTAATAGATTCCCCATCTCTCTAGATTTGCCTATTCTGGACTTTTCATATAAATAGAATCACAATACATAGTCCCTGGTGACCAGCCGCTTTCACTTAGCATGATGCTTTCCAGATTCATCCATATTGTACTGTGTATCGGCATTTTCTCTTTATTGCCAAATAACGTAGCACTGCATCCCCCCTTCCACCACTGAGGACACTTGTGATTCCTGGGCCTACCAGACAGTGTCGGATGATCTTCCTATCTAAATTCAACTGTTCAACAACCGTTGTTCCACCTGCAATCTAAAGTTCCTCTTGCTATTTAACATATATATTCATACGTTCCAGGGATTAGGATGTGAAGGTCTTTGTGGGAGGAGGGGACATTTCTGTCTATCCATGTGCCCAACTTCAGAAGGTACCTTCTGCAGCAGAACACAAGAAGCTGTATCCCCAGAGGCAGCACTGTCACCAGTGTCTTTTATATTCTTAGGTCATATTCCATGCATCTGTGGACATAGACTTTTTTTTCATGTCATTGTAGCATCTACACTATTCTACAAACTATATATTCTATCTTTAGCCTTGTTTTTTTGTTTTTTGTTTTCTAGCCTTGAATTTATCATGGAGTTTGTATTCATTTCCCAGGAATGCTATAACAAGTTACCACAAATCGGATGACTTAAAACAATAGAAATGTCTTCGTTCACAGCTCTGCAGGGCAGAAGTCCCTCCAGAGGCTCTAAGGGAAGAATCTTTCCTTGCTTCTTCCACCTTCTGGTGCATCCAGACATGACTTAACTTATGGCTACATCATTCTAATCTCTGCCTCTGTCTTCACATATCTTTCTATCTTTTTCTTCTCTCCTGGCGTCTTCATCTATCTCTCAGAAAAATACTTGTCATTGGATTTAGGACCCACCCAGATCTTCTAGGGTGATCTCATTTTAGATCCTAACTTAATTACATGCATAAAGGCCTTTTCTCAGTTAAGGTCCCATTCACAGATTCTGGGGGTTAAGACATGGACATACCTTTTGGCATATCAACATTCAACCTACTAGAGCAATCATTCCACATAATGTGTAGCGTAGCCATGGTAAGATTTTGCTTAAACAAGTGTCCTATTAGTGGACACCTATATTATTCTTTTTATGGCTTTTCTTTCAAGTTAGTTGTCAAACTATTTTGAAATGGCCTATAAATTTGCATAAAGAGGTAAATCTTAAGAGAAAGAATGGCTGATTTAGACCGACTTGTGGAATCATGCTGGGAGTGGAATTAAGCAAAAACACGTGACAGAAGGTATCAGTAGAGATTGCTCTGCCCAAAAGGATGGGCATTGCTGTTGAATTTGGAGGTTATTTCACACTGAAGGAGGTACAGAAATCCAGCTGAAGTATTTCAGGCTTGTGAAGGGACCTGAGGTCATTCTGACCAGGGAGTAGGGTAGAACACTTGTTGGCTCTTTCCCAACACTCCTTACCCTCCCAGGGAGCTGTGAGCTAGCTTCAACAGTGAGCTCGTGTTTACCGACTGCTAGAGGATCCTTGGAGAGAGGCGTGCAAGCAGCCAGCTATGCCAGCATTCAGGAGCAGCCTGTTCTCCTCTGGGAAGACGAACATCCCGGAACCTGTTTACTGGTTAACCAAGTGCTTGCCAGCATGGCAGCCATCCTGCCCAGAACCCACAGGGCCTCTAACTTGTGTGGCAGCACCTGGTTAAGTCACCACCCCCTTGTGATTTCAAAAGCTGCATTTTGTGCCCACAACTTCATTTCCCACAAACTTTGCAAGTGAGGATTTCAAGTTTGAGTTATAGTTTGGTTCTTGTACCCACTTCCCTTCCCCCTCAACATACACACACACACACACACACACACACACACACACACACACACACCTTCAAAAGAAATCACGTCAGGTAAACTTGGGCTATTGTGTTTCTTAGGTAAGGCTTTGAGATAAAACTTGAGGTGAGGCACTGCCGGCTTCCAGTGGCCTCCAGCCCAGAGGCAGTTTGCATAGATTATATTACACAAAGGCATGATTCAGGGAGGGCTCCAAACAAGGGCGCATTGTATCACTGTCGCTTTGTTGGGAGTCCTGTTAATGGTTTACATGCACTGTGTCCTCCAACTTAAACATATACGTCCTATTTAACAGGAGCAGCCTGAGGACTTCTACTTGACCACTTTTGCAGAAGGGCTGCGTTTGAGGGAGGCCCTAAAACCAGAGTTGCAAAGGGCCTTCCTTCTCTCCCCTCTCCTTCATGCCAGCTTCCCTCATTATGCCACTCTCTGCTGCCTCCACCTGCAGCCACTGCTGGCTTCTCATGTGACCCTAAGCCCTTGGGGGCCCTCTCTTCGACTCAGGTCTAGCAGGGGCAGGGAAGGCAGTAGGCACCCCAAATTTGACAGAACGGCACCTTCTCCTGCCCCCAAAGGAAGCACCTGCTTCAATGCTTGTTAGGGGTGATTCTAGTTCTTTGAGAGCCAGGATTGATTGCTGTTTGTTTTCCACAGATTGCTCAGACCATCAGATGACAACACAATGTCCAATTCTCCATGCTGCCCTCAGGAGAATCCAAGCAATCTGTCTCCCTAAGCAGAGGTAGGAAAAGCCTTCTCACCTCTCTGCACAACAAATCTCTAATAGGGCTAATACTAATATAACGCCAGCTGACATTCACTGAAGGCTCACTGTATGTCTGGCCCTTTTCAAGATTATTACAATCAGGGGTGCCTGGGTGGCTCAGATGGCTGAACCCTGGTTGAGCATCCAACTCTTGTTATTGGCTCAGGTCTTGATCTTTCACAGTTGTGGGACTGAGTCCTGTGTCAGGCTCCATGCTGAGTGTGGAGCCTGCTTGGGATTTTCTGTCTCAAAATAAATAAACCTAAAAAAAAATAAATAAAAGGATATTCCTATCTTCACAAGAACCCCAGGAGGTAGGCACTATGACTGACACCATTTATGCAAATAGAGAAACTCAAAGCCCAGATAAGAGAAGTGGCCAACTTCCCATCTTAATAAGGAGAGCTCCGGGGCTGGTGCTCACCGAGGAGATGAGCCCACCACAAGTACAGCAGGGTTCCCACTGGCCCACCCTGGTCCTGTTTGGGATACACTGACAAGGTCCAGGCAGGGGCAAGCACATGGGTGTGAATCCAGCATGAAGCGCCATTTCTCTGATTGTCTCTAATGGAAGGATGAAATAAAACCTGATCACAGGCTCTATTCCCATGAGACTAGAGATTCAGGCAAGTTCTGCCAAAGATAGGAGTGATTGCTTATATTCTTTTTGTAAACATGCCATTTATATTAAGGATGGCCTTGTCTTGATCATAAACTTCCTCTCTAGTAGAGATAAAAAGACAGTTAATGCCCCGTGTCAGTTTTCAGGAGGATCCAATGCCATCTCATTTTGGAACCTTGTTACCTGTGTTCTCTCAAGTCAATACAATCAAAAGCATCTTCTTGTTCTAGGTTTGAAGAGATATGGTGGTAACAAAGGCTGGTCAGTTACTTTTTACACGAGGACTCTTGAGTGCCTTTCCTATGATCATTTGTTTCCTTGGAATTTTATCCACTGCTTGTGGCATTGACTGACACCATTAATAGTCAGCCAAGTGCTTATCTAATCAATTCTTTGGGTCAGGGGAGGGCAGCTATATATGTGCAGAAGAGTCTACGTCATGTGATGGGGGTAGGGGGGCGGACATCCCACAGGCCTAAAGACTTCCTCTCTCCTTAGGAACACCGAGGCTGCTGGCATGTCACCATTAGATTCCATGCTTCACTTAGACATTTTCTCCTCCAGGCCTTTATGTCAGTTAAGACTGAGCTGAGTTGCATGTAACAGGAACCTGACTTCCATAGTTCAACCAAGTTGCCTGTTTTCCTCATGTAACAAGAAGTCTGGAGATAAGTAATGCAGGATGGTGCATACCTGAGGAAGCTACCCAGTACTGAGGGCCCTCACTGTGGCCTCCTGCTCAAGTACCTTCTGTGTGTGGCTTTTGTCTTCCCACTTGTAAGACGGTAGCTACTTTCATCTGCTATCCCATCATCCTATTTGCATTCCAGGGGAGAAGAGGGGAAAGAACAAAAGGAACAATGCTCAGTGCCAGCTAAGTCTGCTCACTGTTCTTAGGCAAGCAGTCTCCTTCCCAAACCTCAACCCCGTAGACCTCCTACCCCATTTCAGATCCACCTCTCAGAGGACGTTTGGGGGGGGCGGGGGTTGGTTTTACTTGGGCACATTGCTTCCTTGGACAAAATTGTGAATTCCTTACTTAAGAAAATAGGAGAGATTGCCTCTGAAATAGGGTACATCTCTTGAACAGGAATGTGTCTTGAAAAGTTAGCATATTAAGTCATTAATACTCTAATAAACATTGGGGTGCGGTAGCCAGATACTGTTTTTCCCTCAACTAAAGGAGCCAACGGCCACATAGGGACACGAGGCTAAAAGATTAGGACCAAAGGACAACCACTTTGTCCTCTTCACACATCTGCTTGTTTGCTTCTGGGATGCGGTTACGTTCCCCGCAGTCCAGGGTTTCTGAACCTTGGTGCTACTGACATTTTGAACCGGGTAATTCTTGGATCTGAGAGCTGTCCCGCGCACTGTAGGATGTTTATCCTGGCCTCTACCCACTAGATGCCAGTAATGCTGGCCCTCACCCCCAGCTGTGATAACCAAAACAGTCTCCAGACACTGCCAAATTGCCCCTGGTTCAAAATCACTGACCTAATCTATTCCACTCCACAAAAAAATTGCTGACAAAACCCCTCTTTTTCCTGGTTTTTGAAATGAAATGAGAGGTGTGGACATGACCTCCCCAGCGGCGGACCTTGGCCAAGTAGGGCAGCCGTAGGAGGACCTCTGGGCAAGATTTGTCCCGCACATCTGCACAGCAGCTGGACTAGGCCTCTTCTGTCCTGGCCCGTGTGGCACCTGCAAGGTGGCCCCTTGTATTCAAAGCCTAGCACTCCACGGGCAAAACTGAGGGCTGTCAGGTTTGAAATAAAAATAAAAACTTGGAATGCCCAGTAAAATTTCAATTTCAGAAAAACAACAAAAACTTTCTAAATTTAAGTGGGTCCCACACAGCCCTAAATGCGAACAGCGAACGGGTCTATTTCCAGTCTGGATAATTCTTCAGATCGGCTTTTACTGCCACGTTTCATGACGGTGTGCACAGCCACTGCCTATTATTACCACCAAGTATGTTGGCAGCCAAGAGCTCTGATAGAAAGGCATCATACATAGATGCCTTTGCCCTGACCTTGAACCCCATGTGGTGCCAAGCAAAGCCACTGGGCACTCAAATTGCAGTTCTGATTTCTGCCCCTTCATATCCTGAACGCATCAGGCCCATTCACTGTCACCGAAGAAGTGACCCTCTGGCTGTGCTTCTCCCCTTGTTCTCCATATCTAGGGGGCACAGAGAGGGTTCCCTGGGCAAGGGATGGGACTGTGTTGCCCAGGTCAGCCCCAGACTCTGCAGGGCCCACCTGCCAGCCCTGGAGAAGTAGGACAATGCCTTCTTCAGAGGGAAGCCCTGAAGTTCCACCTGTGACACTCAGAAGAGTGGTTCCCAAAGTTTGTCCCCAGAGTCAGCTCCCTGGCATGTCGCAGGAGGAAGCGCCTTGGCACCCTGTGCACACCAGAGAGCCATCTTGGGGAGCCGCAGAATACATTAGCAGGTTAAAATCTGGGGAGGTCCTGCATTAAAGAAGCCTGTTTGACTTTGTCTAACCCAAGGTTCCTTCAAATTATCTGACATTCTTTTTATTGCCCAGTACCTATTCCCAGAATGTACTTGGGCATTTACTGCCAATGCAGATAACCTGGGGAACAGCAGACAATCGACAAATATTTATTATGCATATATATAGTGCCAGACCAGGTGCTTGGGATCTGGAGGTTTGTCCTTCTCTTTGTAGTTTTTAAATCAGCTGTAAATATTTAATTAACTATAATTATTTGTTTAGTGTCTGACTCCCCCCATAAAAGTTTGATGAGGCAAAGATGATACCCCTCTTACTCACTATCATGTGGCCAGCCCCTAACAGGTCCTGGCCCATTGTAGACGCTCGATAATTATTACTTGAATACATAGAGAAAAATACAATCTTTGTCCTTTGAGGACTTCCTGCCTAATACAGGGATTCTTATGGGACTGTAGAGCAGAATCAAGGCAGGAAGTTTTCTTTAAAAAATACAGGTGTCTGGTCCTCACCACTGGAAATGGTGTAAAAAGATGGGGAGATAGCATTCTGTAGACAAAGCTGAGGTTTGAGACAATGCCCCTGATTCTTCAGGAAACATACCACACTATGAATTAGACTGCCCTGTGGACTTCTCTTTTATCTCTCAAGGCCTGCAAGTCTGGGCCTAGCTTGTGTTGCTAAGAGGCCCCAGAAGAAAAGCCTCTTGGAAGCTAAGTGCTCTCCAGAGGGCAACAAACTTTTCTTTTCAAGGGATAAGCATGACTCGTATTTAAAACAAAAACAAAACTAGAAAATGTTGGTGTGGTGGGAATGGAGTAGACCGCTCATTCATCCCCACAAGGCATTTAACTTTGCCTTTTGAGCCATAGCCTGTGCTCCAACATGCAGGTCTGGCCCTAACCTCCCTCTTGCTCCTGTGAGCTCCTGGCTGCTCACATGTTCTCCTCTCATGAGGCTCTGAGATAATTTGTCAGAGTGCACTTTGAGTCCCTGGATTTGCTCGGGACAGAACAAGTCCCTGTTCTAGCCCCAGGTAGACGTTACTTTCCCAGCTCCTACTTCCCATCACTGCCCCTCAGTTCAGTTGGGGCAAACCGTCTACCCTAGGAAGCCTTTCCAGGGAAGACTTTACATACACACCCACCATAGAATTCTCATTTATATGAGGTTATTATAAAAGCTGACTTTTTGATTTCTGCACAATGCTTTCAACATTGATGGAAGTGTAAATATAACTTTGTTTTACCAAGAAATTTGAACTCATTTAGTATATCAGGATCTGGTTTGCTATTTCATAAATATGCATAAACACGTTTATATACACATATATATATTTATATAGTGTCTAGCAACATACTTTTCAGCGGTTTTAAGTGTTTTTTTGCACTCAGTTTTATTGGAGGTGTGTAACTTCTTTGTTTATTAATGTGTGTATTCCATTATGCAAGTATCCATTTATCATTCTTCTGATGATACATTATCATCTTGATTTGGTTTCTAAATCCTTATCCTCAGTAGCCCCTTTCCTTAGAAATGCTTAATTCCTTTTACTTATTTGTATCTGTATCTTTCTTGCATGAATGCCGAAACAACAGAAAAATTAAATAGATTAGAATCAGTTGCTAAAAAGCCAGCCTTCACAAAATTCTAAAGCATAGGACTCTAGCAGTAGCTTAAGTGAATAATGCAATAATGCTGCTTACAGAATTTGGAGGAGGCATTTGATATAAACTAAAAAATTTTTCAATTCAATATTTTTTATTCCAGTAATATTAAACATGAAAATAATCCGTGTTGTTCTGTATGGATCCTTCTCCTTCTTTCCATGCTGATGCATTGTCAATCTCAGCTGTCCTCTGGTCCAACTGAGA